TAGAGGCGGGGTTTCACCATGTTGACCAGGATGGTCTCGATCTCTTGACCTCATGATCCACCCGCCTCGGCCTCCCAAAGTGCTGGGATTACAGGCGTGAGCCACCGCGCCCGGCGATTTTATTTTTTAAAGAAACACAAGTGTTCTGTGATTCTGCTTTAAAAATTTGAAATGGTGAACACAAATGGTATTCATGTGATTCTTCCTTGTCCTATATTTAGTTGTTTGCCTATCTTTTTCTTCCTGGTGTAAATGCCCATGATGATAAAGAGCCTATCATGGTCACCCTTATTTTATCTCAGAGCCTAGTACAGTGTCATGGATGTAAATAAGTGCACAGTAAATTTTTTATTCTATTAAGTAAATTTAACCATTAAGAAAAAGAGTGGACAAAGAAATGGAAATAAGGACTTGCGGACAGAAAGAGAAACTGATGTAGCTAGTGAAATCTTAAAGTTAACATATAAGATGCAAATACAAAGAAAGACTCTCATAGAGATAAATGTTTCCTAAAGAGGAGAGTTTCCTTTAGGAAAGTTAGAGGGTTAAGTGTTAAAGAGTTAAAAGAGGGCTAAAAGTTAGAGGGTTAAATGTTGAGCAGTGGTATTAGGTGATGGTGAAAATTGAGAAGGACAGAAATAGATTTGCATGGAACTGTCACACTTTTTTTTTTAAAGTTTTTGCAGTCTATTAATCATGAAAAATCTGCAGTCATCACAGATAAAGTCATTGCAGAATCTTTACTCCTGTTTTTAGCCTTTGCAGTCCGCCTGACTTTCTTCATTCTGTTCTTGTGTTCCTTTTGCTGTTTCCTTAAGGTCTTTTTTTCTGTCATGCAGGCCATTTCTTAAAAGTCTGTGTTTGGTCTCATTTTTCATTGCATGATCCAAGGATCTTAAATCATGCTGAAGCCATTTGTCTTGTCACCAGCAAAATGGGTTCTGAATCCAAATACAAAGATGGCATTGGTGTGGTTTTGTACATTTGGGCTAGTTTTTCCCAAATTTCCGTCTTTGATACTGTTCCCTCTCCAGGATAAAGCACATCTATGACTGTTTGTGCTCCCTGAAGTAGATGATTGGTCATGAACTTCTAGCACAAATAGTTACTGTATCGTTCATGATGGCGGTCAGTCCTCAGGCAGCCAGGCAGAATTGCCACATCTTTTTAATGACAAGCTATGTTTTGCAATAAACTGAACACAATGTTTATAACTTTTTTCCTTATGTAGATACGGACCTAGTGATGTGTTCCTTGCCACAGATGTTGTGTGAAATTAAACTTATGCTATTGTACCTAATAGCTGAATAGATTATTTACTATTAGACATGGAATTAATTTACCAGTACATTTTCTCTTATACCTGTAAAGTACTACTACCAGTTTTTTACTCCAGCCTATTCTTTACATTGACTTAATTGTACAATTATTTACTGGTTGCTAATTCTTTGATAAGTTGAGCTCATCTTAAGATATAAATCTTTATACTACTTTGGTTCTCATCTTTATTCATTATTTTATTGTTTTTGACAAAACAAAGTTCAGTGTATTTCTTAAATAATAGTGATAATTTATTTTTTGAGACAGAGTCTCACTTTGTCTCCTAGGCTGGAGTGCAGTGGTGCAATCTCAGCTCACTGAAACCTCCACCTCCTGGGTTCAAGTGATTCCTGTGCCTCAGCCTCCAGAGTAGCTGGGATTACAGGCACATATCACCATGCCTAATTTTTGTATTTTTGGTAGAGATAGGGTTTCACCATGTGGCCAGGCTGATCTCAAACTCCTGGACTCAAATGATCCACCTACCTCAGCCTCCCAAAGTGCTGGTATTGCAGGTGTAAGCCACCGTGCCTGGTTAGAGTAGGGACAAATTTGAAGTGGAAAACCAAATGGTATTTCCTAGGAAATCCCACGTGTGTCAGGTTTCTTGAGAAATTGAAAAAATATGTTTGAAATACCTGTTTTCCACACTTTGGAAACAATTTGCCCATATAAACGTCAGCTTGCCCATTTGTTCAGTCATAGGCAAAAACCCATAAATGGTAGCAATTATAATGCCTGTCTTCAATGACAAGAAGAGTAAATAGTATTGTCTCTCCCTTAATCTGCAGAAGGGTTTTCAAAGTTTGTCCCTTTGAAATTCATGGTTTATGATAGGTATTCTTTTATCATTTAATTTAGAGCTTTTCCACTTTTAGTCTTTTTGAATGAATGTATATTGCTTTATTTCACTGATGCTTACTTTTCCCAAACAGTATGTATTAACATACTATGTGGTAGTTAATTATGCATTCTTTTTTCTTTTTTTTTTTTTT